TTGTACTTGGAAAATTGCCCTCAAATACAAAGTAAAAGCAAAAGTGGTCAAATTACTTCCAAGTAAAAGGCTAGCCCAATCGATTTTGAAATGCAAATTTCCCTCCATAGATGAGCCCCTCCGAATATAAGCCCCTCCAAAAATAAGCCCCTTAAAAAGGGCCTTTGAAAAATATAAGCCCCGGGCCTTATTTTCAGAATTTTACGGTATATACCTATCACATTTCCCAGTTGCAACTTTTAATGTTTTTAAGCCTAAAAGTAATAAAAAAAATTCCAACTGGCCAGAGCAACAGTTATATAATGCATTTGTGCAAAATATACTAGAATTACCAGCCCACGTGCGATGGGCGAAAGCTAACCCTTAAACACAAAATTTATCTTATGGCTAACAACACACAGCTTAACACAGACTTTTCTCCACTAATTCTGTCAGGAGCAATAACAGTTTTGTTACAAGAAAACTGAGCATTGTAATCAAAGTGACACGTTTATGATCATCATCATCATCATCAATCTTTATTTATACACGAAATCGTATCATTTTACATGGTCTTCCTAGGAATCGTGTTTAAAACTAGACTAAAATACTCTAAGGAACCATTGACTAGAATGTTAAAAATACAAAAACTTACATTATGAATAATAAGAGTTACAATGAGTCATGGTGTATTAGAAAAATCTTTCCCATGAATTGAAGTTTTAAAAATATTTAAACTAGGCAGTTTTCTAATCTCTGAGGGAATCTTGTTCCAGTCAGAACAGATCATCTGTAGTGTAGGCTCCCTTTTGCAGACTCAGTTCTGGGTCTGGGGACATAATAATTTAACTCAGAATTTCTAAGATTGTGTGAATGTACATTTGAGGTGTTGGTAAAGATCCGCCTCAGATACGACGGGGAAAGATTATTATGGATTTTATACATTGTCACAGCCAAATGTTTAAGTCTTACATATTCTAGCCTTTCCCAGCCAAGCTCATCCAACAAAACACTTGAGCGAACGTCATAGTTAGAAAAGGTGAGAATTCTAGCAGCCCTATTCTGCAGCTTTTGAAGTTTTATCTGCTAATCCCTTATTGATATTACCCCATACGGCACCACAGTAATTAAAATATGGCATTACCAGTGCATTGTACATATTCACTCTAGTATCAAATGGTATAAAATGACTTACACGCCTTAAGATAGCAATACCACTTTTTTACACTACAATATAAAACTTTAAATAGTTGACAGAAACATGTGTCATCTGCTTTACTTACTTCTGCAGATAACTAAAGGGGTGCATTAAAAAAGTAAAAAAAAAACATTAACCAAATTGCAAGGATTCATTTATATCATTCTCAGGCCAACACTCAATTTGTATAAATTTTTTGAAAGGCTTTGATCTCTTTAGTGCTCAAGTATGGAAAAGAAAAGGGAAGCAAAAAGTTCTGTGTTTACAATGAAGCTTCTTGACCAACTAAACAGGAGACAGGTGTCTTTGTGAGGTTGCACACAACGTTTTCGCCAATTTTTTTTTTATTTTTGCTTTTTAAAATGACCAGATAGTCTGATGGAAAAACTTAATTTAAGTAGAACATTAACTGAATGTAGTTCAATAAATAAATACCGGCCTCGTATACGGCTAAGGTTCTATCGGTCACACTTTCGCGTACAAAATATATAAAGACATTGTACAGCTGTAAAAAACCTTAATGACATGTCCTATTAATCATATCGACAACCCTGCTGACAAAGTTCCTTTCCTTTCACAGCAATATGATTATCGATTGCTTTGAATCACCTATGAAACATGTGGCGGGCACATTAACAAACAACGTACACAAACGTGCACGCTTAAACCGTGACTCGAATTCATTCCGACATGTATGTATATTTCATGTACATTGTTCATTATTATTCTCCTACCAGTAAAACGCTTACAGAACAACACATTCACAAAAACAAAAACAATTTCTGAAAAAGGCGTCTTAAAATCAGTTTAAACAAAGAGCTAGTAACAGCTAGTTTGAATCCCGAACGGTATAAACATCGATTAAATTCATACACGTGGATCGAACTTGCTTATCTAGCTTACCTTTAGCCTTGGAGCTTGAAAATAAACTTCACAGAACTTCAAAATTAGCACATAATCGCCGTTTTCCTTTATGGGAATGTTGTAGCCAAAATTCGAAAAATGATAACGTTCCGTTTGATATAAAATTTGGTCTGCAGGAGCGACTCTACCAATCGAAAGAGATTTGCCAAAGTCCGACGAGGTTCCTACGGTCAGCTTGTCAGCTTGGTAATGCACTCCGTTCAGATCTGTGTGGGCCGGTCCGCCGCTATTTACAGCATATACAACTTCGCCTGTGCTGGAAATCTCTCCGATTAATATTGCCAGTAAAAGACTAATAAAAAGCTCCAGGAATAAGCTATCCATCTTGGGTTTATGCGATGAAAACTCCCTTTTCGGTTTTCCGGTAAATGAGAAGTCCGTTTGGTGGGAGTCTGGATACTAGGGATAAAATTTAGACCCAGTTTCCCAAAGTGAGCTCGGTGCACAGGGCACCGAAACAAATAAACTGTGTTCCCTTCTTATGATTGACATGATTTTAAGTTAAGTAAACTTATCTCATAGTCATACTTTTAAGAACCAACGCAAGAGCCCTAAATCTTCACTACATTAAAATATATCATCTTGCAATATCTATAAGAACAGAGATAATTTCGGATTTTGGTCTCATTTAGTGTGTTCTGGGCAAAACGCCATCATATTTAGCCGTGAAGGTCTCGTTTAGGGTTGCACGCGAAAAAATATATATTTCTGTGTTTTAACATGGTCTCTTTTAAGGGTCAAAAAAGGCTTGGGCCACGCCCAGATCGGTCTCCTTTAGGGGTTTAATTCAAAACTTCTGACGATCATCCGCACGCCTTTCATATGCGGAGTCCCGCCATCTGAAAACGCACCTCTTTAGGGAAGCTTTTTATTAATTTATTAATTTTTAATTTTTATCACGATAATTAATAGTATTTTAACATATGTTGTATATTTTAATTTTATCATAGTATATTTTAGATAATTAGTAGTTAGATACCATTTATTAAGTTATTATAGATAGAAATCATGTAATGCGCGCTTGATCATTTCAATATAAGAATTAAATTATTATTATTATTATTAGTCCCCCCCCCCGGGATTCGCAAGCCTCTAACTGATAACTAAAGCACTACTACTACGAAATATAAAAAACAAATGTACAATAAATCGAAAGGGATAAACATCACACTGAAAAACTGTAGTCAGAGATGGTGGCTTTAAATTTTGCAGTTGAATCCATTGTTAAATATTCAAATGGGAGGCTATTCCAGTCAATGATAGTTCTCGGCCAGAAGCTTTATTTGCACGTGTCAGGCAGGATGGTAGCCTCCGAACAGCAGACGACCGGAAATGCGTCTGCTGTTCGCAGGCTAGCAGGATGGCTGAAGTAGAATAAATTTCAGTGGATGAGATGCTCTGGTTTTTAGGGAGGACTGATGTTGTACATAACAGAGGATATCAATAGTGGCCTGGTGGGTAACAGTTGTACATCAGTGTCAGTGTAGCTGTACTTCACTTCTTTTTTCGAGAGTTGGCCAATTTAGTTGCTTTAGGGCATTGGTTACGAATTCCTCTTCGTTCGTGTACGTTCTTGTTACGAAGCGTACTGCCCTGCGCTGGACCAGTTTTAGCCATGATTTCTGATATACTTTATACGGATCTCATAAAGTACAACCATATTCCAACGCTGGTCTTACTGGCGATTTGAAGGCTTTATCTTTAACCTTCTGTGAGCAATGATGCAAGTTCCTCTTGACAAAGCCAAGTGTCGAATTGGCTTTGTTTGTAATGTTCAGGATATGTGGCTTCCAGTTTAGGTCCTCTGACAGAGAAACTCCGAGGCGGAGGTAAGGATAGTGGTCTACAGCCTGTAGGGTATGGCCAAGCATAGTGTATGGGTGTATAGAAGGACACTTGGTTTTGCAAACGCGTACTGAACGTAACACAAAATAACTTAATATTTGAGGTAATATCATAACCTATATCGTTAACGAATAACAAGAAGCACACGGAACCCAACAGGGCACCTCGCGGGACTCCGGATCTCACGCAAGACTTCTCACTGTACTCGCCTTCAAGGACCACCTGTTGAGTTCTTCCCTTGCCTTTATCCAGGCTAAGACTAAACCACGAATGCCATAGTACTCTAATTCAAGTAACAGATGTTTGTGTGCTTCTTTATCGAAGGCTTTAGAAAGTCTAAGATCAAAAGATCAGTCTGGTTTCTATCAATTACCGACCGTGCGAGATGCTCTACGGTATTGATAAGACTAACGTGACAAATTAGAAACATCATCGTTCATGCAGATCCAAATGGACGCGGGAAATAGAGGATCTAAAACAGAAGTAAAATATATTTGTAAATAAACGAAGAAAAGAACGACGGATTCACGTTTGAAAAGCTCCTTTGAAAGAACTTGTTATAATTGAGGAGCCCGCAATCCTAATCTCCAGGTTGTTATTGTAACGCATGCGTCGCATATATGTATCCAACATTCGTTTGGACTTCCACTAACACTGAATGGAATACACAAAACGCAATTTGATCTCAATCTAACTCTAAATCTAATACCGTGCAAATTTCCGCCCACATAGGATATATGTGGACAGAGAACGGTCAGCGGTATATAAGTCTTTCTGAATGGATTTCCCCGATTAAATCGTCAAGACGGAATCCACCAGGAAATTGAGTAATTTTAATTTTCAGTGGACAAAAACCTTGTAACAGAATAATTTAAAGCATAATGCATTCTTTTTTTTACATTTTTGAAGAACTAAAGATTTAATTAGTCATCTGTAGTAACACCAAAGAAAATTTCTTATGAGAGCCGGAGAAAATGGATGTCAAATTTCACAAAATTGCATCTTACAATTTTTGTGAAATTTGACATTCGTTTTCTTAGACTCCAGTGAGAAATTTTCTTTGGTGTTATTACAGATGACAAAATAACATCTTTAGTCCTTGAAAAATGTAAAAAAAAAAGGCAACATTCTTTAAATCATTCTGGTACAAGGTGTTTGTCCACTGAAAGTTAAAATTACTCAATTTCCTGGTGTATTCCGTCTTAATGTCTTGGTCTCGCTTGAAGAAAGACTTAAAGCCCCCCCCCCGGGGGGGGGGGTACGTCCTTATAAGAGGCTAATGGGGATGTGCCTTAGAAAGTTGTTGTTTATTTAAAAATTTAATAATCAGTTCGCATTGACCGCATTACTTTCCGTTCTTGAAACCATAACTTTAACCAATTACTCAATAGCACAAAACCATGGGTCCAGAACAAAGTCCACCAAGTCCTATTATAACGCTCACGTTTAAAGAAGAATGTTGTCAATGCTTTCATTTTCAACCATTTATGACGGTACATTTGTAAATATTTACGGTTAGCAGACGTACCAGAATGCTTGTACTGTAGGTGAAAAGTAAGTGTATAAAATATCAGCAAGTCCACAGCAACAAAACTTTGCTTGCTGGCAAAAGGGATCCTTTGGACTTTGTCTTGCTGGCTCTGAGGAGCGGCTATTTTTTTCCCACGAAAGTTAATTATTAACCATAAACCGCTTCAAAGGTGCCAGTTTGTTGTTCGGAAACGAAATAAACCTTATTTGAAAAATTGGTCGTTGAGCACTCCTGACAAAACAATGAGTGGTGCCGGATTTCCTAGTTGTAGACCTGGATCAGTACAATTAAACTTGTAGAAAATTATGAAACGGCAAACTGATCGGCTTACGGCAAGACGAAAAAATATATATTTAAACAAATTGCCCAAAAATTAACCCAAGTGTTCCCCTGCCCCCCGGGTTTAAAGCAGTCAACAGAAAGAAGGATGCTGAATGTAAGGGGGCAGATGATTCCACTCTGGGACAGTGTCAGGAACTGAATGAAACTCTGTAACAGCTCTTGAGCGCTAGGATATTTCCGAAGTAGTGTTGACCTTGAGATTGTCTAGTAGCACGCCCACTCCTGACCAGGATCTGATCACGCGCGTTTCGACCTTCTACCCCTCATGACATAATCCAGTCATCAGGCGTGTTTTGACCATCTGTCACATAAAACTTACGCAAAGCACAGTGATTTTGACCTTAGATTGTTGTCGCCCGCACTCCCTAACCTTCCGTTATTAGTAGTTACACATGTATGTCCGTCTTTTGTTGTACTCTGTCTTCCTTGATGATCAGTGATGGATCCAGGGAAGGGGCCGCCACCCCCCCCCCCCCCTCAGGGGTGCGGGGGAAAAAACAACCTGAGCAAAGGCAATTTATTTTTACCTTATGTTTTTTTGCCCCGCGCGCCCTAACCCTTCCCTTTTAGTAATTTACCATGTTTTTCCCTCTTTTTTTTTTCTCTGTTTTCCTTGATGATCGGTGGGGGATCCAGGGGGGGGGCCGCCCCCCCCCCCCCCCCCCTTATTTTTAGACCAAACTGTGGCCCGAAGGGCCAAAAAAATAATTTTTGGACACCGTCCCCTCCCCCCGCTTATCTAAAGGTCTGGAGAGCGAGGCGAGCAACCCTTTGTGCTGGCGGTCAATAAATTCCCCGTGGTTTATTTTTTATCACGCGCGCTCGACGGACTTGAAGAGAAAATAGAGGGTCTGTGAACAGGCTAACTTTAATAATGACGTCTTGTAGATCTTATGACTGAAGATAAACGCCGGGGAAAATGGCGAAAGGTTCTTCGTTTGTGGTGGTATTTTTCTCCAGTTTTCTCCTTTTCTTTCTATTTGCAGCACCTTCAATTGCATCTCCTGGATTGCTTTCTGATTCCTACAGTCAAATTGCACAGAAGTTTGGAGTTCCATTTCCGCTTCCCCAACTTCCAAGTTTGTCTCGTGGCGTCTCTGAACAATGCATCCACAGCCTCTACAATCTGTTTAGAAACCCCAAACTTCTGGCGTATTGTAAGTATGAATAAAATAAACGCTTGATCGCATTCGGTCCATTTCAAGGTTGAGTTGAAGAACAATTGGCCTTTTTTCTGTGTAATGGATTCTTCGCGCGATCTACAGCGTTCTCATGTGGTGTGGCCGCCGGTTAGCTAAACCATTCACGACTCTGTCATTCATGATGGCCAACACGACTAGTTTCCTTAGTGTCAACCTTAGTAGCATTGCCAGCTAGGCTTTGAAACACTTCAGTAATCAGTTACCACTCACTCGGTTGTTTTCTGCGGCCAGATTTGGATGAAATGTTGAAGTTGACTTTTAGGAAAATGATACAGGGTGTGATTTATGTACTAAGAGGTCATGTGACATCATTTTTATGAAAATGAAAGGTATATGATTTTGCCTTCGAAAAACGATTAATGGGTCATATCTTAAACAAAATAATGGTGATTTAGTTTTTCAAA